ACCCGCCCCTCCATCGGCATAGTGGTGAGTAGATAATGAGTGAATTTTCATATTTGGGTGAACTATCCATTTAAGACTCTGGTAATGCACAGTGAGTACACAGGCAGGGTGTGTGTAGGGGCTGAAGGGTAGAGCGGTCGAATCACAGCCCATGCCGTAGTGTCCTTGGGCAAGATGCTGAACCTGTCATAGATGTTGAAGGCACTAATGGGAATCAGCAGTGTAGGCAGGCAGGTCAGTTAGTGACAGGTACGCTAGCCAATTATTTAATTTGGTCTGAATGAAATGATTGGTCATGTTTAATACAGATCTGTGAAGATAACAAAAATGTTTTCTTTTCTTTTTTTTCTTTGACGAGAAAAATGTACCAATCCTATATTTTAATTCCTAAATGTTAACACTAGAAAACATTAATATGCTTTGTTTTGAGGGGGCAACTGTCAGGTAGCAACTTTCCGAGGGTTAAGTCACAGGCCTAAATTGGCACAGATCAGATCAGGGACCCAGAGTAATGTCACAGCACCAACCCTTGATGTCACATTCGCCTTGTTTTCCTTTTCTCCTGCCACACACCCGCCCTCCTGTCATCCACTCCCATCTGCACTGCACTAACTTCTCTGTTCCTGCCATCCGTCATCGCCTCACCTTGGCTGCAAACTTACTCACAAAATGCAAATCACAAATGCTAATCAGTGACAAAAAATAGAATGATAACCACACACACTTGCATCCAGCTTTGCTGAATCGAAGCGTGCAGCAATATCCACCACACAAAGGTCGAAGAATGTTGCCAAGGCGACCAGAGCAGCCACCCGACTCCTCGCGACCGACCTCCACCCACCACGACTTAGTTAGTAACACTGTGCTGTCCCTGTGCAACTAGATAGAAAGGAATGTGTGTTTTTTTTTTTCGTCTAAAATTTGTCTAATATATTAAAACAACAAGATGTATTAAAATATTCTGTTTTACAGTCTCATGCTTCCTCCATGGTGAATTTCAGAGGCAGGCAGAATGGAAATGTATTCACTGGCAGAGCGAGTGATGAAGAGCTTGTTAAACAACAAAATGTTCTACAATTCTGTTTTATCAGCAAACTGTTCTCATCATTTGGAATCTGAATGTGGTCTGTGGCTTGAATAAAACATTAGGTACAGTCGATGCACATGGTAGAGACACACACTATGCCTCAAGTGTGGCTAAAAAAACAATCTCTGTGCATTATTTTCACATTGTTTCATATGAAATGTTTCGTCTTGACATTTTATAATTGTTGCTTTTGTCCATATGTCAGGAAATGTTCAGTCCTAGCGACTGAGCAAAATGGATTCCCCCGTGCACTTTAAATCAGATCAGAGTCTTTGCATGCATCATGTATTACATCCCTCAATCTAGAGTCGTGATATTACAGCCGAGGAGCTGCTTTCAAAATCCCAGCTGCATTTTTACATCAATGTCTTGTTTTGGTATTCAGCTGACAGCCTCCACAAGCAATTTTCCAAACAACTGCAAAGATGTAAATTGTGAGAAAGTGAGAGTTGTGTGATCGCAGAGAGACCAGTGGAGATTAAATTAAAGAACAATATTCTGCTACGCTGACGTTTACTTTTTACTCTGTTCTCTTCCAATGTTCCGTTTTTGGGCCACAAACAGAATTTATATTATGCACATCAGTCAGCTATCGACATGATGCTTTTCCTCAACACAACATTGAAGGCGTACCATTGAGCTTACATCCATCACTTCGACCCATTTCACATCCATCTGTCAACACCGTGGTGGTTGCAACCATCCCCATGCTAAACAAAACAAACATATATGCAATGCAGCAGAAGAGGAGAAAGAATTACATTTATGAAAAGAAGATAAAATTGTCTATATTTCTATTTCAGTCTTGAATCCATAGCCATGATATCTGCCTCACAGCGTAAGAAAGAGGAGGTGCAACCAGCAGAGGTGGCAGCCGGGGACAGGGCCAGTGAGATAAGACAACACAACGCTGCTCTACAACACAATGCTGCTCTACCTTGTGGCTGTGAGGTGTTTTTGTTCTCTAGCTTCTTTCATTTAACTTTGTACAAGCGTCTAGATATTCACCAAAAGGGATATTATGATATAACTACAACAGACGCCATATTGACAAAGAAGAATTATTATCTAATATTACTAGAAGTGAGTCACTTTTATGAGATAATTGTCGTAATTTTGGCCTGGATGTTATTTTACAGAGGGAATATTGAAAGATCAGCATGCAGCCGGCATTAAAAAGAGGAGTGTGGATCATCTTGTTAGGTTGTACTATAGTAAATGTTTCACCAACAACAAAATACTCATCTGCACCACATTATCATAAGTATCAGGGGATACTGATACAAGAACTTGTAGGGATTTAGAATGTAGAAAGAGTGGAACTCATTGAATCACAACTGTATTCACATGATATAATGATTTAATTTCTTATAATATTGCAACTTTTATCTCAAAATCTAAGATTATTTTTTAATTTCCTTAATATTGGCCTAATACTAAGCATTTGACATACGAAAATCATTTAAAGCTACAGTGTGTAGAATTTTGTGAGACAGTATTTAATGTTGAAATTGCATGTTGCAGCTGAACACCCCTCACCTCACCCTCCAAAAATGAAAAAGAACCTGTGGTAGCCTTTAATTGTCATAAAAACTCAAAAGGTGTTTAGTTTGTTCAGTCTGGACTAATGTAAAAAACATGGCAGCCTCCGTAGAGAGGGTCCCCACGATGTAAATATAAAGTATTTAAATATAAAGGGGCTTTTCTGGGGTAAAGAAAACTACAATTCATACAATTTAGATGAAACAAACTAGTGAAAAGATCATGAGGATTATTCTACATTAAATGTCTGCCAATAGTTCCCTTTCACCTAAATCTTACACACTGGACCTTTAAGCTTAGATAATGTATATAAAATCCCATCAGGGCACATGTCACAGGTTGTAATACATTTTCATAAACTTCTTTTCATTCCATTCCATTAATAGTTTCTTAATAGTATTTATTTATCTATTTACTTTTTTCATCTAGTTTTAAAATGGATGCTGGACACAGTCTCTCTGCATTTTACCTGGAGCTCCACACACGGCTCCCCTGGAGAAAACCAGGTCAGGTGCTGCAGGCAATCTATTTTCCATTTCTGGCCCTGCAGCCCGATCGAGTCCAGTCACAACTGTAAACACACAAAAAAGGCTCCTTCCTTCCACAGACGAGTAACAGCCAGTGAGTTCTGGGCTCTCAGACAATAGTCACTGGTGAGAAGCCAATACTGACGGATGCATTCAGACACTGCAGTGGCAAATACCTGGAGCGACCTCCTGCTATGACAAGTTGACAAGTCAGTGCTCCATAATACTACTGAGGCCAAAAGAACAAATACATGGTGACACACCCATGTTCAAAATGTTTGGTTTTTTTATTTTCTTGCCGCTAACATTTAAACTGAAACACATCCAGCATGTTTCTTTGTTCTTTTCCTGGCTTTTGAGTTTTAAGGAAACACGTCCATTAACTAGGAAAAGATGATCCGTGGGCATCAGTGTTGTGGCTTTTTCAGAATACTTCTGACAGGAAGGACGTGCCTGCAGTAGTGGGGGTGTAATCACTCGATGCTTGATGGTTAATAGCTTGACGCAAGACATTTTTGCTTGGTTACACGCACTGCCTGCGTGAGCTGCACATCTCAGGCATGGCTCCTGTTTGTAATCCACGCTGCTCTTCTAAAGAGTCGAGGTCTGGACTATTTTCTCTGCGTTTCACAGCAAAAATGATCTTATCTTCACAAATGTAAATATTTGCAACACTTCCTGTACTCGTTTCAGAGTAAAAGCACTCTAGCGACAACGACTGAATTCATTCATTTGTTTTAACAAGGTTTATATTGTTATTGCACCTGAAGATGCACAGCTTCATACCAGTCATGACATTTAGTTATAGGCTATTTTTATTTAAGGAAATACAGTAGTCACCTCATGCTTTTATCTCAACCATTGCCATGCTAAAGAGAATTTAAATAATACGAAAGCATTTTAAGAAAGAGGTACTTCACACTTACACTTGTTTTATGAGCTGTAAACTAAATTATATGATTCTCTCCAATCAGGGGTGAGAGCCCCACCCCCTTTACTTAAGTGAAAACTGTTGAAACAAGGTTCATTTTCAAATATATGGTGATTGAGATTCATTATTCATATTTTACAATGTTTGTGGCTTAAACTCGACTGAGCACTTTTCAGTTTTAATACAATCGTTTTGACTGCTGTTGAAACACCACCAGACTGCATTCATTCCCTTCAGACCTTCGTATAGCTCGTCAGTTACTGTAGATGGTAACACAGGCCCTGTATTTTCTGTCTGATCACACTGACGTCTGCTTTAAAGGCTCCTGGAGGGGAGAAGTCCTCCAGCTCCAAAGTGCCCTCTAACACAGGTGCCTTGCAATTGTGCGTTCCTCTCCGCTTCCCTTCAATTAATCAGTTGAATCCAATCATACAATATAGTGTGTAGTGACGCAACACTCACAGGGCCACGCTTCAGAATTAAGGAGCAGCCTCATTTTGCCTTTGACACTTAAAGTGCATTTGCTGACATTTGAAAAGCATGACTTTTTCCTGCTGTAGTCAGTCTGGTGTGTTTGTTTCATTTTAGCAGTTGTGTGAGTTATGAATCTTGCAGGTTATGAAACAGTAGGGGGAAAGGGCTTTTATTCCCTTGTTAAGACAAATACATCCAACCAGATTTACTGCAGCTTTAGTGCTGGCTTTAAATAAGTCACTGCCTTAAAGTCAGAGGATGAATTGTTCTGTGTAGTTAGCACCGTATCGTACACTAGACTAATAAGTTGATTGACATGTTTAATGGGTACTTCTACTCTGTATCTCTGCATAGGCTCCATTAAACATCTGGTTTCTTTGGTAACAGATCCCGTTACCGTGCACAACTGATGCGTGTTTATTCCATGCTCTCGGCTTACCAGTGTCTTGATCACACTGGTGCTCACAGGGGTCCAGGAGGCGTCGTCCACACAGCTCGTTGACCCAGGGCCCGCTGGCATTCTGCTGGTAGTACAACAAGATCTGGGCAGGGTTCAGCCAGTCTGAGGCGTCCAACTGGCTCCCCTGCAGCAAAATGAACCTCGAACCTGAGGAGGAGAGGAGGGGGAGGGACGTATAGACAGAGCATGAGGAATGGAGATGCAGAGGCAGGAAATGAGGGTCAGATGGAGGGTAGAAGAGGAGGAATGGAAAAGAAGTAGAGGGATGTGGGGGGAGAGGGTGACAGGGCGAAAAGGAGGAGAGAATGAGTTGAGATGCATACCTCAGCCAAGCAGTCCAGATATGACACCACATTTTAATTAACCCTAACCCTAACCCTGATTTTTATTTATTAGGATCTGCACTGAAACTCTTATAGGTATCACCTGCCTATTTTTTTCTCATTAAAATCCATTAGTTATACTTTGAGAAATCAACAACAATGTTGAAAAATGACCTGATCTCACAATGTTAAAGAAAGTGAAAAAAAATAATCCTGGACCCTGCCCCTGATCTGGACCCCTGATCTGGACTCAAAGTGCATCTCTCAAGTTCCGTGGTAATCTGTCCTGTAGTTGTTGTATAATCCTGCTGACCAACAAACAGATAAACACACAGAAATGTTTTTCACCTTGGTGGAAGTCAAAATATGAAAGCAAATGACTGCAAGATACATACTCAGCTTGAAATTAAATTTTAACATTTGAGAATGTTCCTTGATCTTGTTTACAATAATTAAAAACATGAAAACACACAGACATTAAATATTTTGAACCTTCCTACTAAAATATCGTCAGCCACATTTAAGACGCCGAATAGACACAACACTGAAATGGAAAATGACAACCCTGAGCGTTAGAGAATCTTCCCAACAAGAAAAAAGGATTATTAGAATTAGAATAGAAGCATTTTACATTTATTCCAATAAAGTGCAAAACTCATGTGTAAAAATATGCAAATTGTCAGAAACATTTAAATGAAGCAGTGCCAGTAATAAGGATAACTTGTTTCTTATTGTAATTATCAGTAACCACAGGCAGCCAGATGAGGAATCTTTCTTTTACTTTTTCTCTGCCCTGCAGCGAAACACATGCACCAAGAGGTGGAGGGTAACTGTGACGAGAGTAGGGGTGTGAATCCTGTGCAGACACAGTTTTTCATGCTTTTGGAACAAAGATCTTGATCAGATAAAATGTTGAAGATTCAGACAAGATAACTAGATTACAAATAATAGTTTCCACTGGATGATTTTGGTTGAAAAAACATTTTTTTTTGTAATTCCCATTGGTGCACTGTGACATTAGAAAGTTTCAGACTTGATAGAGAACATTTAATTATTATTATGGCTCTCACAGATACTATAAGATGTGATACTTTGACTGTATCTGGATAGAAACTCGGTTAAAGGGTTGGCTATATATATAAAACGTCCCTATAAAACTCCCCTCGCCATCAATAAAGTTGTCTAGAAAAAAAGAAAATCCAGTGTGTGTTTGTCTCACAGGACAGAAAGAAACACAAGCAACCATCACCCACACTGTATGAAATGATTGGTCGGTCACTAATCGACCTGCCTGCCTGCCCGTGCTCTCGCTGCACGGGAATCTTCAGCCAGAGAGTCATCCATCGAAGAAGCAGAGATGATCGTCAGATGATGGTGAGAGAGTCACAGCATGTTCAGGAGTTTTTGGGGGCGTAGCTCTGACAAGAGGGCTGATGGGAGTGGGTGGGAGGTGTCATTGTAAAGTGTGGCCTGCGCTTACTCGCTTTTCAAGGATTACCAACCCAAGCTTTAAAGCTTAAAGGGCTAGTTTACCGAAACATTTAAATTGGAGTCCAATATGAATGTCGGGGCTTGCGGACACTTGGATGACACCACAAGAAGAGGAATGAAGGCATGTTATGTTGTCTGCAACACTGTTTAACCCTGAGACTCCAGAAGCGTTTTGTGGACTCAAACACTCCACCCACCCTTCCATAGGCACAGTGCTGAGTAGATAACCAGTGAATTTCCATTTGTCGGTGAGTTATCACTTTAAAGTCTCTGCGAATTCACTTTTTTAAGCAAATTATTATGTGGAATTAGCAGCTATCAGTAAACACTCTCTCAGGGGTTCTTACTTTTGCACCCCTCCAGGTACCCGCAGTGACACTTCTCTGACGTTATTTTCACGTGTGTATAATTAGTGACATAAATAGAGGGAAACAATGGGGTCCTTCTTCATTTTGGCATCAGATAAACACCCTCTCTGAGGTGTTTTCAGCAGGCCTGTTTATTTATGTTCCATTTATTTAATTAGCGAATGATATGCAGCCTCATTAAGGTCGGAAAGATTTTGAGCTTGTGAGGTGATGTTCGCACGTAATCTAGAGTTTGTAAATCGACCTTTGTCAACCTGTAAAATAAATGTGCAAGGGAAATTCAAGTTTGTACACGTGGATTCAGTTTTTTGTAAATGGAGGTAACACAAATGCAATTTGAATCATTATGGGAAATTAAACACATTATCACTTCTTTGACAGTCCAATGACGAAATGTCAAGTTGTCCAATCAGAGGGCTGGTGGTTTTGTTGCCTTCTTCTCCTCTGCAGGTCCTAAGTTATTGTAGTTTTTTGAAATTTATGACAGTAACTTTTTAATGTGCTGTGGTCGTGTAAAGAACATAGAATAGTGTGGAGGTGTAGGCTTCATCTAGAATGTGAGGACAGTAGCTCAAGTTTCACGCATTGTTTTCTGTTTTCTTTCTGGACATAAATGTTCGAGTACTAAGTTTCTTTACTTTTACGAATGCAGATCTTTTCCAGAGGTTGATTTACACATTTTTTGAATCATTTGTGAGGAATTCCTTCACAAGCTCAAAATCATTTTGACCCTTTTTTGAGCCCATACATATGGCATTATTGTTGAAAGGTGCAACAATAAAATCCCCTTCAAAAGATGTCATTGATGAGTTCCGCTGAATAGACCAAGGGTTGATATCTGGAATGCGGTTGTGTGAGTAGACATCTGTCAGTAATTCTTTACTTTACTCAAGCCAGTGAAAAGCAGTTTGACGCGCTTGACGTTTCTTTGCTTGTTTGCAACAGCCTGGAGAAAGCTACCGAGTCGTCGGCTGTGTGATCTCTGTATATTAGCAGCTAGACACATTGACCAAAGCCCCGTCCATTTGCAAAGATGGAATGCACTGGGCATTTGCTAACCCAGACAACTTTAATGAATTCTTGGCCAGCTCTGTGTGCCCCAGTTAGTGCCATCCCCTTTGATGATCCCTTTAAAACCACAGCACACTCTGCAAATGGCTGGACGCATCGTGTTTGCTTAATTGCGGAGAGTTCTTAAATAACTTGGAAAAACTCCCAGATGTAAAACACCTATAAGATGCTTCGATGTTTTTATGAAACATTTTATGCCCAGTCTGATGTCTTTGGCATGAACATGCAGATTTCTGTTTCTTCATCATGAAGTGGATTCTAATAATAAACATACATGCTTTACGGTTGTGTGTGAAAATATATCCACTAACTGACCTCTAACTGAATTAAACCTATTTAGCAAAGTATCAAACATGACTTGATTACAGAAATTGATCACCACCTGAAGTGTGAATCTCACGGGAGACCATGAATGCCTGGAAAGTAATGAATGGAAGCAGATAATGTTTCAGAAAATTGTAATACAAAGAACATTCAAGCAATACAATTATATATTATTGATTTTTTTTTTTTTTTTCTGGCTTGTATAATTGATTTATTTATTCACTTGGAGGCTCATGCAATTTGCTATGGGAAGAGTGTTGAGAATAGAAGCACTGACTAGCAGACAATCTCCTAAGTGCATTTTCTGGTGAGAAATAACAGAAGGAAGGAGCAAAGTAACACAAAAATATAATTTACTCTAAGCAAAAAATTATCTTCATTTAAACTGGCACATGAAAAAATGACAGATGGAGCAGGGTTTCTTACTCAGCTGTGACTGTGGTGCCACCACAGCAGCAGTGTGCTCAGTGCTGTCACCGGTGGCTAGAACATATTATATAGCTGTATGTGCAGGACACTCTCAAAATTGTAAAGGCCAATGGGTGACTGCAATGTCCAGTCTCCAGCAGATGGCCATTCAGGATGGTAAAATGTCCTAGACCATGATAGGTGGCAAAGATCTCTCTCCAGCTGCTATTAGTACAATCACATTATGCTGTGTAGACCACTCGGCCAAAGGGGCATCCCCAGAAATAGTTTTCTCAATTTTGATATGTCTCAGACGGAGATGTTAGTAGAAAACCCACTTCCACATAATTCAATCTGAGATCATATCCGTTTGCCACATTTCTATTTGAGACTATCTCTAAGTTTGATGGAAGAAAGTTTCTCCTGTCTTGTGTTATGTATCTAGAATTGCAGCAGATATAGTTATCCTGTGTAAGCACACAACAAACTCTCAATGATAACTTTCCCTAATGTGAAAGGCAGGAAGAAAGGTGTTACTCCACATCTCTGTGCTTTCCTCCACAGTATTTGAAGGTAGACACATGCGCAGCTGGTGGCATTAATAGCTTCTTTCCCCTGTGGGAGAATCCAGATTTTCATCTGATTCACCATGACATGAAATCAAGTCTGATGAGATTGTGGAGACATTTATGGAAACATTCTAAATCGATCCCAGTTTTGTAATTCAACAGGCGAATTTGCCATCTTTCATCTCTCCTCTTCAAAGTTACCACCACGGACGCCTCCCTGGAATTTTAATATCTCCTTGGCAGGCCAGCGCATACCACCGGAAAGCAGCAGCGCGCCGAATCAAATCAGACCTACAGATGATAGATGAGTGGGCCTGGTCACAGTCTATAATACATCTGGACTGCCAGCTCACTCCTGTGACAGCTGAAAAATGCCAATGAGCCAGTGCTCGGCCCCTGCGGTGGTGGTTTTTTCTGCAGGTGCTACATTGAAATTCATTAGTGAGGTGGTTGAACATCTCAGAAAGTACAATGGGAAGAGTGATCGAGGGTTTGCTGCAGGTGGTCACAGCTACCTGGCCTCAATGTGCTGCGATGCTTCGAGGGCACATCTGTCGTGTGGTCTCACTCGGGGGAACCTGGGGAGGGGGTGGTCAAGCTGACATTTACCTTTGTCTTTCAGAGAGCAGAGCAAATATAACTCGACCACAAAGCGCAGGCACTCGCTCTGAGAAATGGAGCACACTGAATTCCCTGGTCGGTGGCGGAAAAAAAAGAGCAGTTGAGACGCAAGGGGCTTTGAACGCCCCTGAGAGGTGTGTGGTTGGAATGTCTTACCATCAGCGATGAGGTGCTCCGGCACATGTAGGATTACTCGGACTGAGAGGCTGCAGGAGAGGTGAGAGGAGTAAACCAAGCCAATGACACAGCTAATGACACTGATCAGAGTCAGGGTGGTCTTATTGATGGGGCTCCGTGGGGAACCTGCTGCTGGGAAACAAAAAGAAACGCACAGGGAGGGAGTGGGGGAGGTGGGAACAACAGACGGAGGAGATACATGAAGCAACTCTATTCCCCATGACCCCACAGTTCAATAAACATGCACACAGCCACACAAACATATACATACACAGCCTACACAGGCTTTACAAACAAGCCAAAAAATAGGCTTAGCGCCCATGAAAAGGACCTTTGGATGAAAAACAGCAAGCCTTTGGGAGGTTTAGCCCGGACATGGCTCAGTGGCACAGAAATAAGGTTTACTTTTGAAAGGTATTAAAATCCACCCTGGGATGTGATGGAAAAAAAGAGAGTTGGGCAGAAACAACAAAAAAAAAAACAGTTCAGAGGTTGTTGTGCAACCTTCCCTCGTTTCTCTACTCGTCTTCCCTCCTATAGATCGAGAACACTTCCCTTATCTCTTTTACTGCAGGGTGCAAAACAGAAAGTGTTAAACGTGACCTCGTACCCACAAGGGCATGCATGCATTCACATTCTCTCACACACACAAAATCACACAGTGAACTTGAATATACACAACTCGCACTTTGTCTTAAGTGGTTATTTCTCTAACTAGCAGAATAACCCCAGGAGAAACTGACATTTCAAATCATATATGAATCTGGTATTTTACCCAGAAAGAGAATGCAGGGCATACTCCCCCCACTCTTTGATTCACACTTTGTATTTGTATTTGTTATAACACTAAAATAATCATCCAGGAATACAGGGAAATAAAACATATTTGAATATTGCCATGCTTTGCTCATAATTCCACTGATTTGAAGAAATACTTTTGTCATCCCTCATGAATGATCCTTTCCTCTGGATCTAAACAACACAGTGAGGGCAGTGTTGCAGCCACTCTTTTCTTAACCCTCTCATTAAAGGTGTTGGCCACACTTCTGGAGGGTTTGCCGTGTTTGTGACACCTGTGCACATGACAGTGGAATAATTGGCTCAGAGGCATTGTAAAAGCTTGTAACGCCTTCTGACAGCAGCTATTATTTTAAGGGCTTGGTCTCTATTTTTTCCTTATTCTTTTTTCTTTATTTTTGCTTCCTCTCTTCCATACTCCAGAAGTGCACATTAAATTTGCAAGGACATGACATGCTGACAGATACAAAAAAAAAGAAAACGTGCTTTGACACTTCACTTTCTTCGGCAGCCTTCTGTGCAGGATCCCCCTCAGAAATAATATTTCTGTATATTATTTCAAATTGCGGTGATCTCCAAGTCATGAGATGCAATTGATCTCAACATATTTTCACGGAGAACCTCTGATCTCATCATCTTGTTTGATTTCAGGGAACAAGATTGTGCGATGATGCGCTGAGATCAGTTTCACATGCTCACAAACACTGGACACGAATATGTATACACGCAGCATAACAACAAATTGTATGCATTTCCTTTAGGAGTCAAAGTCACGAGCAAACACACAACACTGGAACTATCCATCTGCTATGATGCACTGTAAAGGTTACTTGTCATGCGTCATGGTGATGGTAATACCATCAGACGGCGAGATAAACTGTCTGTAGGTGTATGAGTCCTCCTTACCCCCTGAGCCCCACGCGCTGTTGGCATTACCATTTCTCATACCTCGACTCCGGCGGCGACTGCGGTTTGGGTCGGTGTAAAAGGCCAGCTGAGGCTCGCTGTCTGCCTCCGTCCCAGAGTCCCCGTCTGGGTTCAAGAAAGTTGAACCCGCTGTTGGATTCACACAAAACAAATACACCTCCAATGAAAAGAAGCTGTGGAACCGCGGTGGGGAGTTTGGCCTCAAGTTGGCCTCACAGACATGGCAGGGAGGGAGCAGCGAGAACGGATGAACCCACGGCTGGATTCAGTGTGGAAACAGATCAGTGCATGAGAAGTTTTCTCTAATCAATACTTGAAATGTGGCCTAGAAATTTCTCACTGTGAAGAAAAGCTGAGAAATCCCTTTTTTCTTTTTTCTATCAACATACCCGTCGAACGTTGCTGATAACTTTTGTTTTAACCATTTTGTTTATTATTCCATCAAGATAATACACAATTAGTAGTGACTCTATTCAATTAAACTCAAACTTGCAAGAAATGGAAGCCATGACAAAACTCCCCAGATGTGGGTGCATGTGAAGTGAGCAGGATGCAGCATCTTCACTTTGATCGGATATATTTTTAGTCGAATGTGTTTTCTGCACATGTCCTTGGGGAAACGCATTAGAGCAAATCACACCTCACCTTGAGTTGTTGATTAAAACCCTGCAAGGTTCACCAGAATGAACCTTACATGAAGAATACTATAAATATCCTCTAGTGAAGGTCTGCAACATCATGGTGTCTAACTAGCGTTATCATTCAGTGCAATATAAACTGTTATTGTATAAACATTATATGTATCAATGTCTAGTGTTGTAAACCACTTACTGTCAAATCAAAGAAAGCATCACAATCATAAATGAAGTATTTACAATATTTGTTAATCAAATAATATTTATTTAGTCAGTTTTTACAATGAACTTGATTAAGATTATAGCACTTGCCATACTAGTACTGAACTACTGTATTATTTTACTACTGCTTCTAGATACAGCCACATTATAGACTTCTCCACAAAGGACAACAACAGTCTTGAGTAAAGAGTTCATGGTTTATTTGCTTTGCCTTTGACCAACTCAATTTAATTGTTCCATCTGAGCTTCCAATTAGCACTTGCGGGCATAATTGGGAAATGTGTGTAAATCCTCAGTTTATTAATTTAGGGGCTTATTTTGATGTTTCCTTTAACACATTTCAAACAGCCCTGCATGACAGGAGCGGCTTCAGAAACAGAAAATACGCAACAGGAGATGAAAAGGTTTCCAATTTCATAATGAATTTCCCCATGTTTGGTCTAACTGTGGAGGAGTACCGACAACATGGTCACAGTGATTTCAAAATGCTGCTTCATCGAAACTTCAAAGTTAAATTAATCTTTGACTTGTACCTATTGGATTGAACACAGCGCCTGAGTCAATTAGAATAACACAATCTGTTTTATGAAATTAACAATGCACTGGGAAGCAGTAACACTGCTGTTGGGGCTTGTTTCTGGAGTTTTTTCTTTACAGTCCCTGAAATATTCAATCACTGATGAAGCGATAATTAAGAAAGGTGTAGTACATATAGCATTTGTTAGTGTCTACCAATCTGTACTGTATATAGCTTTCTCTCTTTCTCAATGTGTTACTGTGACTAAGTCCTACTGCTTAAATCAAGCTACACTGCACTTTATACAGCACGGTTTCCGTTGCCCTGATAGTGACATGAACAATACTAAGATGACCACATGTTATGTATGAGTTTTTTCACTGTAACCAGAGTGTCGGTGGTTCGATCCCAGTTTCGCCCAATTTCAAATGCCAAAGTGTCCTTGGGCAAGATACCAAAATCCAAATTGGCCCCTCTCATAGAGAAAAGTACAGCACATAGATGCACTGTATGGATGTGTGTGTGGATGTAAAACCTGCACTGTAAAGTGCTTTGAGTGGCCAGCAAGACTAGAAAAGTGCCATATATAAATACAGACCATTTAACATTATACACATAACATGTATATAAATAGTGTATATTGTATGAGCTGCAGTTTATTACATTTTATATTCAGTATAGATTCCGCTATTGATTACTTTTCAACTCCTCAATCATTTTGTGCATAACATGTCAGAGAATAGGGAAGACTGAGTCCATGGAGATGATTCATTCATTATTCATGATTGTAAAGCATTTATCTGCTTGATCAGAAGTCTGAAACCTGAGAGTATCTCACGTACAATGACCTTAAACTGAGATTTAAAAAGGCTTTTATCATTCAAAACATTTTCCATAGAATGAACAGTCTCAGAATGTAAAACACAATGTACCAAACAACGTGACAGCATGATGGAGTTTTGTTTGGATAACAAGTTGCAGTAACTGATCTTATACTTTGTCGGTAATAATTATGTTGGTGACATTGTGCCAAAATAAGTTCATTAAAAAAAAATAATATGGACTTCAATCTATGATACAAAAATAAAAGTGAGATGGAAAAGATGAAGACTAAATGGCTAAATACACAACACATATATGGATAGGGTATCTTACAGGACAGTGCCAACACGGCTGTAGGTTTTTAACGCCTTTATTTCTGTTAAACTTTTTCATTTGGTGTTTCATGTAAAGTGCTTTTCCACACGCAAGGTTGAGTGCAGGATACAAATGCAAAAAAAAAAAAAAAAATGGTAGAATCCACAGCTTTAGCAAAATAATCCCATTTATACTCCTCACCGATTTTTCATTTTGCATTCCAGTGAGATAGTAAATGTCCCTCTCTTCAGCAGTGAATGTAGCCCCACTGATCTGTCATTTAGAGCTACATTATGCTCTTAAGGACCGGGACTGATACAAAGAGAGGGCAAAACAATTGGATAAACAAACCGCTCTTATGATACAATGCATTTCAGCTGAGTGTGTTTTAGCAAAAGGCATTAGCTATATTTAGAGGGCATGTATTGAAGCTTGCATTACAAGTGTTAGCAGGACGCGAACCACAAAGTGATGGGGAAAATCCATCAAAGCAGCAAAGATTTGCAGCCTCAGCGGGATGTATGTGATTCAAAATAAAATTCATGCTAACATTGTTCAGTGACAAGAGCTTTAAAAATCCCCAACCAAGACAAAGCTCTTGATTAAACTGGAGAAGATCCCTCCGAAACAATGGAGGAATGAAAACACTGTTGGCAGCAATGTCGAAGTGACAAACTGAGAAGGACTTTTTCATGACAGAAGCTCCATCAGTTTTTCATACTGTTGGTTTTGGAACAATATGCACTGAAGATATGAATGTGTCGTGTAAATAGTATTGGCAGCCATGACTATCTGACAGCACAGATGTTGGTGTTGCTTTACTTCACAAGTGGGACAGAGTTTTTGATGACACCAGTGTTTCAGTCGCATTTTGCGCGACTGATTTAATAATAAAGCAATATTCAGCTTACCCTTTCCCGCTAGAAATACTGGCAGGGAACAAAGTCACTCACAACATAATTCAGTGCACTTATCAAAACTCTGCAGTGAAACAGTGAAGTGAAGACAAATACAATCTCTTTGCACCAAGCTTTGGATCAAGGAGGTCTTTCTTTCAGAAAAACATATTCTCCAGTAGATACAAATGATAGCTAGACTTAAGGTAAACACATATAAAGCAAGCACAGTAAGAATATTCTGCATTTCCCTTTTGATTTGAACTTTTACGTATTTGTGACAGCAAATTTCTAGCTGTTTAATGTCCGTACCACATCTTCTGCCAGTCTTTCAAATAATTGCCTAGAAATATTGACTTCATGGTGGTGGTGCTTGGAGAAAAGTAAGTGGGTTAACAAAGTCATCAGGCTTCATCCTCTGGGGACAATGAGAGTCTGTACAAAAGTAATTTATCATCAACTCTGTAGTTGTTGGGGGCTGAACAACCAACCTTGCTATCCCCCAAGAGATGCTGGTAACATGACTTCATAAAAACAATGTCATTTTTAGCAGAAAATGATCCGCTGGGGTTTCAAGATGTATTTTTACAAACTCCAACAATGTGTGCATATGCAATGTATATTGTTTTTGAATAGTTTCAGAGCAGGCAACGATCGAGTCACTTAGATTTAAAGCTGCAGTCCCATCTCAAAGTCATGGTTTATACTGTGTTTCCTGAAGGGCTTCTATCTGTAACATGCTGGGTTGAAGGATAAAGACAAACGTGTAAGCACAAGTCTGGATGTTCTACAATCTTTGTAAATCAAGTCTACTTTAACTTTTCTCTTGCTGCTGTAGCACAGAGCGACAAAATACATCTTTCCTGTCTGTGGTTCAAGGGCTTTCCCTGAAAGTTGGAAAAGTAAGAGGAGATGAACAGGAGATGTTTCTCCATCTGTTTTTTTTTGTGTCTGATTTAATTCTGATAGTACCAAGTTGTAGAATGAGACCTGAGAGCTTACAGAGATGCTCAACTCTCTACATGTGCGTTTTAGTCCTGCCGACACATTCATGGTCATATATTGAAATATAATAACAAAAAAGACATGCTCAAGGTTGTCATGCACTTTGGTGATGTAGACAATCAATACGTAGCCTTCAGAGGACAGAAATCTAATGGGCTACACTTTCTTAAAAGAGAATAAGAATAATGTTGTGTCCTCCTCAAGCTCTATAGCTGAAAGGTTCAGAGTTTACGAGCAGTGAGTCAGCCTCAAATAGTCAATAGAATTGTAAATAGAGGAGCCAGATCCAGAAAGCTACATGGTAACTGATACTTTAGAATGGGACAGTGTTTGGATATCTTCATTGATCAAATGCAGACTTAAAAATAGGTCGCAACGATTCGGGGAACAGATGATGTAAGAGTGTGTCTCCAAAACTGAGGTGCCGTGAGAGTACAGACTAAGTTAAAGCTAAAGAAATCTAAGACGGAAAATGTCAGGGCATGGATATCAAATCAGCCAGTATTGAGAAACAGTCCCATCCAGGCAGGATCAGTGACGGGAGCTCAGACACACTATTTATAAAACTGGCACAGCTTTGTGGAGAATGAAGGCAAACAAAACACTGACAACAAGTTTTCACTCCAATTAGGTTAGAGCATGAAATCCTTCTGAACAATGACACAATATTTAATTAAAGAAAGACAATGCTTAATGGCTTTTAGGTTTTTTGGGGGC